GTCAATTGTTTTGTGCACCTCTGTTCCGTTGTGCTCACTCAGCGGGCCGGTAAGGAGTGATAAACGTTTTCCTGGAAGCAGCGGTTGTATTACGGTAAGAGTCAACAGAAGACAAAGATCTGAGTGTATGAAGTTAAAAATAAGGGTGAACTACTTAATGGGCGTGACAATTTGTCTGTAGGAACAGCTGACCCGAGAAAGTCCGAAACATTCCATTATCGCTGTCCTGTTTAGAATGCTGGAGTTCCGGCTCTTGCGCCACAGCTCAAATTTAAGCTTAATTTCCAATCTGAGATATCTGCTTGTGATGCAGTAACAAGTCATAGTAACGTACTCCATTGACCTAATTCTGTTTTTTTTTAACCTTCGAACTTGGCGACAACGGTACCGCCGTTATGGCCCACTGCAAATGTGTCGCAGACCTGAAATGTTGCAGTCTCTAGGGCCGAATTAAACCAGCGCCGACGCCAAACAACATGGTTATAAATAACTGCTGGAACTCTAGCTAGACCTAGAAGGGGTCGACTGTCATCGGCCTTCCATTTAGTAAACCCTGTTAGATCCGCCAGACAGGCAATTGATACTGCTATCCCACACTAACAACCCGTCAATGTGTCCGCTATTGATTCAAAACGCAAACTAGTTAACGTGTGGCGGCAAACAGTTGTTTACCAACTTAAACAAAAGGTTAAAAATACAAGTTACAGAAAGGCGCAATAGCAAGAATTAGTCTAGGAACTTGTGTACAAATGAAAATAGGACAAAGTTATAAATAAATACAACATTGGCAAAAGGGTACCACAACCCTGCATACTTTTGGTTTCACAGTTCTCTAAATTATTTGTGGAATCTCGTGCGGATCTTTGCCCTCCCGTTAAATTAAATCATCACTGTAACGTTCACGTCTGTTTGTGCGCGCATAGTCTATTCGTGCACATCCAAACTTCTTCCATGGCCTGCCAATTGCCTTTCTGCACTTACAAAAACCGGTTGTGACAGTCGCATTTCTTACGTCGTGTTCTGGCTATCCGGAACGTGTCCGCTATTTCCCTCTACGAACGATTCGGTCATCTCCCTTCACATAGTTGACTTGTTTGAGTTCGAGTGTATTTAACACTTAGCCACGCCTACATCGGAGGACTTAATACTCGAGTGCCAGGGCGTTAACCTGCTAGATCGCCTACTGTTCGTCTGTTCAGGATTGGAAATAGGCAGTGGGGAAAAACTATAATAACGTCAATACATGAGTGCAATTTCGGCGTTTTTATTCGCTAGTTTATTGCAGCCAACAAGAGTGCAAATATTGTCAGTGATCGCTTCTTCTTCTTCTGAAGTGCAAATATGCCTCGCGTTAATCCTCCCGCTCCCTACAGGTGAACGTATTGTCTGTACTTCCGGTTTACAGTTGTGCTTCACCACATCTGGTGTCCACAACGGTCAAACGATCCCAAATCATTTTCTGGCTCATCGATTTTAGAAGAGTTGGCCGATTAAACTGTCGCAATGTGGTGGTGGTGAGGGAGCTGCGTGCTGTTCACTTCCTTCAAACCAACGAACCTCTGCTTCAGCTTGCTTAGTTGATTTCCATTTGCTAAGGCAGTCTTCTACATTTACTTTTCTATCGCAGAAGAATCGAACCCCGGCCGAGCGTCGAGTTCCCGTTCAAGGACCTGCAGCCAGGAGAGGTCCCCGCCCTGAGCGGACTCGAGGTACAACGTCTGCTGAAGACTCTATCAGTAGCACTTCCTCCGAGGATGAGGAAGAAACCTAAGATGGAATTTTGTTGTAATTTTACACTAGTCCTTTTTCAAATTGGCTTGTGTCGCTTTCACCGTATTTTTGCCCTATTTTTGACTCTTGCCCCCCTATTGACGAACGCCGCTTTGGCTGGCACCAACACAGGCACACTAATCCGGAATCGACTGTGATTAATTCTCAGGTTATTTTTACCACACGGGATTGCTCTTCAATCTGCTTTTAAATCCCCCCCC